GAGACGCGGAGGGAAAGAGCAGACACCTAAGCCTTAATTACAATAATGATTACTCATAGCTGCTTTTTATACCTGTCCGGACTTGTCTGTCTGCCGGATTAAACTGACAACATTATTTTACTGGGACCAGATGGCTTTCCTAAGTTTGTCCTTTTTCTTTCAGCTCTAGTTTTAGTTTTAGTAGAGTTTTTTACGGCGCTCGCAACTGCATAAGGTCATATGAGCTGCATGGTCTATGTTTTTGCTCCTCGGAAAAAATGTGTTGTTTTTTTCTGAATAACCAGTTTTCACTTCCACTTCCTTGAAATCAAACTCCGATTGAATGGAGTCTGTGGGGGAATCTATGGCGCAATAATTAGGCTCCGCACTGTTGAACAAATGGACATGAGCTCGATTCCAGAGTAGTGAGTTGTTTTTTTAATAGGATTTTTTTCGTGCCTCTATCTGTCTGCTAGGATGTTGTATCCCGTTTTGATTGGATTGGCCCTTATAGGCAGGGTCGAAGCAGCCCGCCTCCTAAAAGATCTGAATTGTTTCGATGGAAGCTTCAAATATTACAAATTACATGTATTTTTCACGCGTCAAGTCAATCCACAATGTTGGGACCTACCAGGATATAACATGTGAGCAGATTATTTTCTACACTGAGGCGACCGAGTGGAGAGTAGAGTCAAACTTACTCAAGTGAGAACCTGTATAATTCAATCACCTGTACAAACAGCCTCTTCCCATTTTTTTCCTATTGTGTTTCTTTTTTTAAAAAATAACATTATAAAGATACTATGTAGGGCGGCCACCTGTCTATAACGGCCAATTTTCTCCACGACAATTGGTGGCAGTCATGGACAGTTTCTAATGTATTAGCGAAATCTTCTAAAGCGCCACCATTTCTGTAGAGCTCTCAGCTCTCATCTTGTTTATCTTCTTATGTACCTTGATGGCACATCCTTTTGAATTGTACATTTACAGTGAAAACACTAACTGTGTCTGGGTCCCACACAATCTGTCTCTTCTTTTCTCTTTTTTTCATTCTTTGATGACATCGTAATACTTGTTCATATATGAAGTAGTTTAAGAAAACGTTAATAGATTATTTACATACTAGAAGTTAACATTTCCAGGGACAGATGCCCATGCAGATCTCATTTACTAAATCTTCAGTATAGTAATACATGACGACGTGAGTGCACTGTATTTCCCAGCATCTTTGAAGCACGATGTAGCAGTCAATTATCTTTACGAAGTGTTACATGCCATCATTCCATTTTTCTTCGTCCGTTTATTGGAAACTTTTTCGTCTCCTATGCACCCTTAACGAAATCATCATGAGCGAAAAATAAACGTTAGTGTAAAATAATTACTAATTGTTTATCTTTTATTTCATTATGTTCTTTTGTGCGCGCATGTGTATATACGTGTGTGTGTGTGTGTGTGTGTGTGTGTGTGTGTATGTGTGTGTGTGTGTGTGTGTGTGTGTGTGTGTGTGTGTGTGTGTGTGTGTGTGTGTGTGTGAGTGTGTGTATGTGTTAATAGGTGGGAGGTAGGGGATGGGGTGGTGTTTGTCTGTTTGTTTTGTTTTGTTTCCTAGCGACGGGGCGATTCTACATATTAAAACTGATAGCAATACGCTCGTGAGCTGAATAACAATTGCATCAGAACAATGATCTGTGCCTACAAAGACAACTTATTCAACGCCATGGTATTTTTCAAGGTGATAATCTAATCAACAGAATAGCAATATTTCTACAGTGACAGTCACAACAATATCGTGGAATACATCGATGATGTGAATCGCGTTACCACCAGTGCATGCGGCTACAGTGAAAACTAATGAATATTTTGGTGAACAGGACTGTCAAATCGGTCCGACATGAAGGATACCAAACAGAGACACATGTCGTAAGAATCGCATTATCACAATAGTATTTGCAATTAGAAACACATCGAGGCAGTCAACGATAGTTACATAATATACATATTATTTGAATAATAGTACAAAAAGTACTTGCTCATTAGTCACCATATCAAGTTGTCGTGTTCACCCAATATTGCAAACTAATTCAAGGAGCGCAGACTTGGCATTAGAACTCAACCAGACGTAAATACTTTACACACACACAAATGATCACAACAGTTTGTTTCTAAAAGCCACAGCATGGACATTTCGGACAGAAACACTTCTCCAGCACACACATCAAAACTAAATTCATATATTATTACACGAGGGGCATACCAAAAGTTTTTAACCTGACCATGAAGGAATAAAGGTAGAAAGCTGAAATTTGGTACTAACCTTGATCTTTCTCTATGTAGTCGCCTCCAACAGGTATACATTTTTGCCATCTGTGTTTGACCTTGAAAAGACATTGAGAATAGAAGACCCTCTCTTTGTCAGAAAACCAGCCCTCTTCTGCTTCTTTGACCTCATCATCACTTTCAAAATGCCTTCCTTTAAAATCATTCTTCAGCTTGGGAAATTTAAAAAAGTCGGACGGGGCTAAATCTGGAGAATAGGGGAAAATTTCCTAGCCACTTTCTCGCGCGTTTTCTGCAGCTTTTCTTGAAGTGTGTGCTGGCGCGTGGTCGTGAAGCAGAAAAATGTCTTTTCTGATCTTTCCTCTGCCTTTTTCTTTTATAATCTCTAGTAATGTTTTTAGCTGGTCAGAATAATGGTCTCCGGTGATCGTATGTCCATTTTCAAGATAGTCTATCATCAATCACTCCTTCTTGGTCCAACAACCCCCCCCCCCCCCCCCCAACTGATAGCATCATTTTTTCACTTGATGGCTGCACCTTTGCCTTCTTTGGTGTTGGAGACGAGGGCGATTTCCACTGCACTGACGCAGATTTTGACTTAAGATCGTAGTGGTGGACCCATGTCTCATCCGTGGTTACAAGTTTTTCAAAAAATTTAGTTTTATCCATTTCATACAGACCAAGCAATTCTTGACAACAATCTACATGTTGCATGTTTTGAGGAGGAGTCCACAGACGTGGGACCAATCTCGCACAAACCTTGGTGATATTCAAATGTTCATTTGAGATTCGTTCTAGTGATACAATGTTAAGACTCGTTTCTTTGCTCAAACGTTCAACTGTCACTCGCCTATCAGACAACACAAGTTTCTTGATTTTCAACACATTCTCTTTCGTTGTTGCTGTCACTGGGCGACCATCACGGTGATCATCTTCAATGTCCATGAATCCGCATTTTGGATTTTTTACACCAAAATTTTATCACAGCATAGGATGGGCAATCAGTTCCATATACGGCATGCATCTCAGTTAAAAAATACCCCGTAGTTGCTTGCCTTGCAAAAACAAAAACGTCATTACTGCCCTGGGCTCAATTTTCTACATGTTTATGTTGAAACTGGAGATGATACCCCCATTCACTTACAGTGCACTGGTGTTAAAACCAGCAGTTTGAAATTTCGTTAGATTTACACGCATTCTAGGAAGATGATTGTTGGCTTTCACCCCAAATTTCACCTTTCTACCTTTATTCCTCCATGGTCAGGTAAAAAACTTTGGTATGCCCCTCGTAGTATCTAAGACTATGCAATATGATGCACTTCCAGTTCCCCATGGGGTGCATCAGTTGACTCTATTTTGAGCCAAAGTGAAGGGCAAGAACCCAAATGTTGCGTTTTAAAAATTCGATTATAGCGTGAAATCCGCAGCTTGCACTGTACCCTCCCCGGGTAGTCAAAAACTTGTCTGAGTGTTATAGGGTACGCTGGGGGTATATTTGAAAAGCTCATGGAGTATGCTGTACAGCGTGGATATATGCTAGAAATGTAAATTATTATTATTATAGCCAGACTGGGGGTTTCCTTTTCACTTGCTCGCCCGCGGTGTGCATCAGCGCAGCGAGCTGAGCGAAGTTGTCACAGAGAGCAAAGAGCAGCGACTATGACAGTGGCCGTTCTAGGATATTACGCTACCTCAGAATTACAAAGTTTTAACTGACAATTTTGGCTGTTTTTAGTTACTCTAATCTTGAGGTCAGAAACCAAACATTTTGTCGCCTCTATCAAAATCGTAAGATTATTCGGAGTCGTTATCAAGATATTCAAAGAATTGCATTCGAAAAAAGCTTGG